TCCCAATCCTGATACCCGAGCTATTTACTTACAAGTGTGGGTTTTATAAGTCACTAATGCTGTCAACGTGAGGGGATGACATGTCTACACAGTCATGGCCCTCACTTAGAGTTTACCCAGATGTGCTTTTTTCCTCAAATATGAGTTTTTGCCACTGGGTTTTTTGACCTGGCCCAAGTTCACTGGGTGGACTGGTAATCCAAGACCCTGGTCCAAATAGGGGAAATAGATTTTATTCCCATTTTTGATTATATGTGTTTACGTTGTGAATTATAATAATAATATTCCCGTTGTTGGGAATAATACACTTTGCCTGTTTTGATCCAAGGCTCAAGTTACAGATAACATGATGTGCAGTATGTTTAAAATTGGTTAAGATGTCAGCTGTTTGAAATTTTTAACTTGTACACTTAAAAGATGTGTACAACAGATGATTACAAAAGCTGAAAATCGACAGCTCGATCTCCTCTTAAAGGGAAAACCTACGGCACAGAGCAAATGGGGGAAATCGAGGTGAAGAAATAATGAAAGTCCCGCAGACGTGATTAGCACGTCTGAATATACCTCCTTTGGTTTCTCTGCCGCAGGCCTCCCATGGATATTCCGTAAGGTAGATCATGATATGATCTAAGAGGGGAATTGTAGATGCGAATATCCATTATGCTCAATATCCTAGCTGTTCATATAAGGGTTAATTTGACCCAAGAATAAATTTGGAATTGTATCTCCAATTCTCGGAAATAAAACTTATCTATTTATGGGAAATGTTATTGGAACATGATTTTGTTATGTTCCTGGAAAAGGATATTTACATGACATGACATGATAAGGATTCTGGAATGACCTTGTTAATTGTCCAAGATTTCGGTATTTGTAATCATCTGGGTTTTATCCAATATGCATACATTATGTAACATCGAATTATAACTAAAAACAGCTGTTTATAACTTGTGAAAAACAATGTCATTGTCACGCCCATTTGCTCATTTTTCCCCCTCCCATCCTGCTATGAAAATGGGGTATAAATATAACTGACGTATGAATACAATTTGAATTGGTTATCGAACATGTCTCTGCTATTCATTTCAAATTTCCAGAGCTCTGTATGAGTTGGCAAATATCCATCATCCACAAAGGGCCCAGGCTGATTTTATCCCCAACAGATAAACCCCAAGCTTTAACTCAATATGTATCGGTGGGATGTTACGAGCAAGTCCTGGAGGATTATTTTCTGCCCATACTCCTGGAATGTCAAATACAGATCCATCACTCTTTGGGTTTGCTTTTATTATTACGGAATAGAAATGCCATTCTTAAGTAGAAAAGTTATCTGAGCTTGAAGCTTCGATAATAGATCTCGTCCTAGAAGTTGAATCGGACACTCTGGCATATATAGGAACTGGTGCTTAACAAAATGGCCTCCTAAAATGCATGTACGACTCCTGAGAATCGATCTAGCAGTGCTTTTCCCAGTAGCTCCTATCACAGTTATAGTCTTCTCAGAAGGAGGAGCTACCAACTTGGTCACCACAGAATGTTCAGCACCTGTGTCAATCATTGTGGCAAACCCTGCCACTTGGACTAACTATTCTGTGTGAATAGGTGTAATGCACCAAGGGAATAACCACACAAATGGTATTGTAATGTGTTTATTCGAATGTATGAAACTACCGAACGGAAGACCACCTCGGGGTGGTTGTGTGTTTCCCATTAACAGAGTGATACATTGTTGCGAAGGGAATTAAGTACCTGTATGTGTGGCCGCCATTTCGCCTACCGAACACGTGGTGGCGGCCATCTTACGCACAAACAGGGGTACTTGGTTGTCGAACGCCTGGAACTCAAACCGGGCATTCGACTAACCAGGCACCACTAAGACCTCAAGCGTGCTCCGACAATACAAAGCTTACACACGAACGCCCCGGCGTTCGGTAGATAGATTCCCCTAAACGAGGGGAATCGTACGAATGGTAGCAATCGTACGGATGGCTAACCGTTCGGTATTTGTGGTTCACTGAAATAGACCAACCGCAGGGCCAGAATGCATGGAACTGTTTTCGGCTACTGAGCCCCTGCGGTCGGTCAAATCTTTAACAGGCTGTAACTCCCGAACCCCTGGTCCGATCTGGGTGAATTTCAAGTATGTTGCTCACCCAGATCAGACCTACCAGGGGACCCCTTATTTGTCCCTGTACCCCATGTATTTAGGGGACATCCAGAAAGTGGGGAAAACTCTGTCCCCACTAAGTGGTTTAAGTGCTAATCTAAGGGGACGAGAGTGAGGGGAGTTGACCGGGTTACAATTGGTTACTGTACAAATTATGAAAGTTACCTCCCTTGCATGGGAGAAATGCATAAAAGCAGACCTGTGATTAAAGCTAGCAGTTGACTCCCAGACTATGTGTCGTCTAGTCCTTGGGGAGGTGGATTATGCTGGGTTCCTGTGATTTTGTATGCTGAATCTTTGTTCCCAGCGGAGAGCCCTTGGATTAACCCCTGCTCCTCCGCTACAATCATGAAAGGACTTCTCTTTCCCCCTATTGCTACATCGACCATAGGCTCTGCTCGGCCAAGGGGGATGGAGCCCGGTCGGTATCAATAGTCTTCCATGACAGTGTCAGCCAGACCTACAAAAATCTCTATCTTCCCTATCCCTAGGTCTCTGGGTAGGGGGATAATATCTACCTCCCTGAACACTCCCTCTGCTATTCCCATTATTCCCTCGAAAACTTCCTCTATCTGATCCTCTATAGTTACTACCATAACCACCTCGCCCTCTTCTCTCTTCTTGTCTACCACCTGCAATATATCCCCTCTGTGGACAGTCACTCTTCCAATGCCCTTCCTCTCTACAAAACGCACATTAATTCCTACTTAAAGGTCCCTTACTCAGCCTATTCTCGACTCCTTTATTCACTTCCCTTCCCTGTCTTTCTACACTTGTGATAGCTACCGCTAGCATATCTGCCTTCTTCCTCATTTTACGTTCATCCTTACGCTTTCTCTCAGTTTCCCTATTCATATACACCTTATTTGTAACCTCCATTAGTTGTGATATGGATATCCCTGCAAATCCCTCTAATTTTTGCTTAAGCTTTCTCTTAATATCGCTCTGGGCCTAGCTGACAAATGCTGAATTAATCATTTGGAAGTTTTCAGGGGCTTCAGGATTGAAAGGAGTGTTCAATCTATTTGACTCAAGCAGTCTCTTATAAAAAGCACTGGGTGATTCATTAGCTTTTTGTAACACTTCAGCCGTCCTGGACATGTTAATTGCCTTTTTCCCTCCTGCCTTCATGCCAGCCCAGGTGGGATTGTGTGTTTGTATAATGGAGGTGACCAAGTCAATCATGGCTTGTAGTTTATCGGTGTACAAGGAGTTATGGGTCTTCCAATTGAACTGGTCAGTTGTGGTAAAAGGGACTTAAACAAATACAGGATCTGCCAATTGTAATATATTGACGGTAACTGTCCATTACCGTCAATATATGGTGGGCCAGGTGTAAGCCGGAGAGGCATCTGGCAACGTTGGGATGGAAGGGTGCCAGTCAATTGTCGGGTTAGTATGGGGCTTCGGTAAGGCTGTTTAGTAATAGGTTCCGGTCTGGGAGTAGTAAGATAGGTGGAAAGGGATGAGCTTATTTTACTAGTCAGCATTTGGCGGATGAAAAAAATAAGAAAAGTGTTAAACCAAAAACCTACCAGTAGGTGTCACCAGAGGGTAAGTAATTGTATCAAAATAATCTTTATGGGTCTAATAATGAAACTTAACTTTTAATATATTTATACATAAAATAAAACCTTATAGCAATAAATATATTAAAATAGCGTAAGCAATCTTACTTCTGTCTGTTGTATGCCAGTATAGAGTTAAAGATGATTAAACAATGTAATATCAATGTAACTCCCGAAGATGGCTAGTAGGTGGCCCTAGAGTGCCTCCCTAAAGTCTAATGAAGCAGATAGACTTTAATTATGTGCTTATTTTATTATTGCTTATTTTAATCACTGTTCACCCTGATATCTAGGCTTGAGTAAAGCTTTAGTTCTATGGTAAATTAAACATCTCAGTTTGTATTTTAATAAAGGGGATATTTTGGACAAAGCTGGGAGGGGCCCATCCAGTAACTAAAAAAAGGATAAAAGTGTACTCTAGCATCTAATATCATTGATAATTTCTTCCAGTTGTATTTTAGACTATCACTGAAGACATACAGTGTTCAGTAGTTTTAGTGCTATTTCAATGATTATGGTACAATGTCATTGCTGAGAATTATCTGATCCAATAGACTCAGTTACTGTTATTAAGAATTCTCCTCACAATTTAACTGTTAATAAAATTCAGTGCTAAAATACACTCCTACCAAAAAGGAAGTCAGTTCAAATTACAAAGAACCAGTGGGGGATTTGTACAGAAATACAAGAGTTTGAAACAAAAGAACAGATAGGTATGTGGGTAGGCAGGGACAATAGAGCAGGGGAGTGCAAATACCAGCTATACCAGTTTTAGCTTGGGAGGAAGAGTGGGGGAGTGGCTACTCTGGCTCTGGAGGATGAATAAGGGGGTTGGCAATCAGATGCAAGGGGGGGAGGTGTCCAAACTAGGTGGAATTAAGGCCTTAGTTCTGACCACCATGTGGCTCCATTGTTCCTCATAACACAGTTTAATTCACCAAGGCAGTTTTTCAACAATCGGTTTCCAACAGTCAATATATGGAAACTGATCATAGAATTCCAGCCTACTAGTTACAGCCACATGTACACCCTGCACTAAATTTAAGTCAAGTCTGCCACAAGGAGGCCATGCGGCCACCAGGACAGGCCTCTCCCTACTACACAGGTTTTTTTTTTTGTTTTTTTTTAAAGGACCACTAAAGGCACCCAGACCACTTCAACTTAATGAAGTGGTCTGGGTGCCAGGTCCAGCTAGGGCTAACCCTTTTTTTTATAAACATAGCAGTTTCAGAGAAACTGCTATGTTTTTAAATGGGTTAATCCAGCCTCCAGTGGCTGTCTCTTGACAGCCGCTAGAGGTGCTTGCGTGCTTCTCACTGTGAAAATCACAGTGAGAAGACGCCAGCGTCCATAGGAAAGAATTGTGAATGCTTTTCTATGGACTGGCTGAATGCGCGCGCAGATCTTGCCGTGCATGCGCATTCAGCCGAAGAGGAGGAGAGGAGGTGGAGAGGAGGTAGAGAGGGGGAGGAAAGTTACCCGCCCGGCCCTGGGGAAAGAGGTAAGTTTAACCCCTTCCTCTCCGTCCAGCCCGGCAGGAGGGGGTCCCTGAGGGTGGGGGCACCCTCAGGGCACTATAGTGCCAGGAAAACGAGTATGGAAAACGAGTATGAAAACATACTCGTTTTCCTGGCACTATAGTGGTCCTTTAACATACAAGTCAAAGGACCAACTGCCTTGTGAATCAGAAGATGATTTCAACAGAACGTCTGATTCAAAAGCTTTACAAATATACACACAGTTTCAACAGTTACACCAATCTCCTTATCACCAGCACCACATGGCACAGTTATGAGGCCCAAAAATACACGTGCACGCACACACAGGATCCTCACATGCTCAACAATATCACAACGTCGCATACACAAGTAAAATCAAGATTCACCAAACACTATATACCAATCAATGCAACTGTTAAGCAAGTCATACAATTGTCCACACAATTAATCAACATTAACTAACCGATAGCATAACATTTCAACAATTTCGTCTCTACAGTCAGTGGTTATGGTACGGTTAGTACCGTATTTTTCGCTCCATAAGACGCACTTTTTTTCCCCTCAAAAGTGAGGGGAAATGTCTGTGCGTCTTATGGAGCGAATGTAAAGCTTTACTTACCTGTCTTGTTGCGTGGGCCGGCTTCACAGCGCGCTCCGCAGTCCAGGAACTTCTATTTCAGGTTCCGGTTTCCGGCGGGACTGAAAGGAAGTGCACACTCAGTGTGCACACTTCCT